CCCGTGCTAATAGTTAATGAGCTCTTAGATAAACTTGAAGGTTTGCAATTTTTTTCAAAGCTTGATCTTTGACCAGACTATCATCAAGTTTGAATGCATGATGCTGATAATGAGAAAATAGCTTTTTTGACTCATCAAGGGTTATATGAATGGCTTATAATGCCATTCGGTCTAATAAATGCTCTTACCACTTTATAAGCTTTAATGAATTCTGTTTTTAAAGCTTATTTGTGTAAATTTGCACTCATTTTCTTTAATGATATTCTTATATATAGTACCACCTAACATCTTGAACACATTGAGCTGGTGATAAAGCAATTGGTTGCTCATAAGCTATATGCAAAGAAACCCAAGTGCTCATTTAGCCAAACATAAGCTATATGCAAAGAAACCCAAGTACTCATAAGCTATAAGCAATTGGTTGAATATTTGGTGGCAACCACTGGAGTATCTATGGACCTTGCAAAAGTTTCAGCTATACAGTAATGGCTAACTCCTACTAATATTACTCAACTCTAAGGCTTCCTTGGATTAATCAAGTATTATCATCACTTTTTTACACAAATATGCTTAACTAGGAACCCCTTTAACATAGTTATTACAAAAGGATAGGTTTTATTAGTCAAAGAGATATAGGAAGCATTTGATTCTCTCAAAAGGGTATTGACTAATGCCCTTATTTTGGCCCTCCCTAACTTTTCTCAAACTTTTACAGTTCAAACAGACATATTTGGGTACACAATAAGAGTTGTGGTCAAAATAGGCATCTGATTGTTTATTTCTCCAAGCAATTATCCACCCGTAACAGGCACAATTACATATGTTAGAGAGTTATTTTGCCATCACTCAAGTAGTGGCAAAATTTCAGCATTACCTCTTTGGCTAACCTTTTGTCATCTATAAAGACCAAGAAAGCCTCAAACACCTTCATAAACAAGTGTTACAAACCCCTAAGCAAGAGCTTTACTTACCTAAGTTGTTAAGTTATTGATTCATAATCAAAGATCACCTAGGGAAGTCAAAATTGGCCCTGACTGTCTATCCTATATAACCTATATAGTGCTACAACAACTCCATTATTCTTTGTTTGACGATATTGTTATGGTTGCACAACAAAGTGAGTCTTTAACAACTTCAAGTGCAACTTGAAGAGGATCCTGGTTCTCACCCTAACCATTAGGTCTATGTAGGTGTATTGTATTTCAAGGGCAAAGTCATGGTACCTCAAGAAGACTTTTACTTGGTTTAATGTATTTTGTAAGAGTTTGATGCATAAGTGATTGGAGGACATGCAGGTGCTCTTTGCACATTTCATTGACTTATTGCTAATGTTTATTAGTTTTCCATAAGAGGAGATATGCAAAACTTTGTTCGAGAATGTTCGACTTGTGAACACACCAAGGTGGCTCAGACCTTGCCAGGTGGACTTCTCTATCCCTTGCCTATTCTCTCACAAATATGGGATTGAGTCACCATAAATTTCATAACAGCACTTACGTCGATTTGAGAATACTCTATTATCATGGTCATGATGGATTGACTTTCAAAATACATTCATTTTGCACCTTTAATTGCTCATTTTACTAATGAACAAGTTACCAAGGTATTCTTGTCCCAAGTGGTTTGTTTACACAGCATGCCACAATCTATCATGTCTAATCGTGATAAATTTTTTACTAGTTCCTTTTAGTGTGCCTTGTGTCAACTTCAAGAAGTTTAGTTACAAATGAGTTCTTCCTACGGCCCTAAAACTAATAGACAATTGGAAGCTCTAAATTTCTATGTTAAAATGTATCTGAGATGTTATTTTCATACTACCCCCCCGTTGTTAGTTTGATTTGTCACCATGGATTGAGTAATGCTTAATTTCACTTGGTGATAGGCATGACGCCATTCAAAGCTGTTTATGAGTGTGACCCACCTTTGTTGGTTCAAGGTTATTCTATGGTTGATATGCCTCCCAACTTACATGCCTAGCTATGTTATAGAGATGCTTTTCTCATCTCACTTAAACGTCACTTGAAGCAAGCTTAGACATGCATGAAATGTTTTACTAATCATCATCGTTAAGAGGCAATTTTTCAAGTGAGAGAAATAGTGTTTATCAAACTTCATCCATATCGTCAACACTTTATGGCATTACAAATAGAAGCTAGGTTTTAAGATTTTTGTCCCCTTTAAGATACTTGAGCTCATTGGTTATGTTGCATAATGTCTCAAGCTACCACCAAATGCCCGTATCTATCCTGTGTTTCATATTTCTTTGTTGAAGAAATGTTATGGCAAAATTAATTCTATTTATTTCCTTTTCTTTTCCTTATAGATGCCAACAGCCCTCAAATTTAGCCACTTGAAATATTTCAAGTTCATTAAGCTCAATGAGGTACAAACACTATTTCTCAAGTTCTTATTAGTTGGGATAGGCTTCCTGATCCCACTTAGGATGATCGTCAATTTTTCTTACAAGATTACCCTTCCTTTGACCTTGGGGACAAGTCTTACTCATAAAGGGGGCATTATCATGATATTCATGTTAACCAAACCAAAGCAGCATGAGAATAATGAGCAGGACTGTGATGTGGCTAAACCAGGTGGCATGCAAGGTCAAGCAAATGAGAATGGGGTGCATTGTAGCACTCATGCAAAGACTCTCATGTGGAAGTTACAAGAGGCATATAAGGGGTAAAAGCCTAGCATGGAATGATTGAGGGTGTGATTCTTGTGATTATACTATCTCTTTTTGTTATTCTCTTCCTCTCTGGAATTTCCCTTTCTATTATTTTTGTTTATGCATCTTTTCTCTATAAGCTACTTCTGACGAACACTATGATAGTGGTTTATGCTAAATAATACTAGAAGGATTCCATAATTGTGTTGATTTGATCCTTGTTGTTGTGTGAGTAAGTGACAGACATGTGAATTTTTTATAAATTATTTATTCTACAATAAATTTATGAATAAATATTATTAATACATGAAATTTCACTTGTCTTAACTTGATTGAACAAAAGTATATTAAGTATATATGACTAAATATCTAAGTCTTACCTTTTTTAAAGGAAAAAAACTTCTATACTTAACCCTATATATTTAATATGTTTATTTTCAATTAAATCAAGATATGTGGATATTTTTTATATTATTTATTCTATAACAAACTCATGTTATTAATATATATTATTAATACATTAAAATTCACTTCAACTTTAAAAAATGATACAATTTTTTATTTCATTAACAAATGTTAACTTTATCCATTAGTTGATAACTAAATTTAAAAAACCTAAAAAAATATAGAAAAGGACTAATTATATTTGCTTGGTCTTTTCCTATAATTTTTTGGGGTCATTGTCTATAATTTTGGATCATATTATGTAATTTTTGGTTCTTTGTTTATAATTTTGAGTTCCTTTTTGATAATTTTTTAGTCAACTAATAATTAAAGTTAATTTTTTATTAATGATAAAGACAATATTGTACTATTTTTAAAAGTTAAAAGGGTAAATTGTACCCAAAGAAAAAAAAACTTTGAGTCCCGTGCCTTCATGTACTAATAGTTTGAGAGTAAAATTATCTTTTAACACTTATATATGTAAGATTGAGTACCTGAATCTTATCATTTTTTCTTTTTTGTTAAGATACATGAATAACTTGGCCCGACGAATGGACGTTCAAAATGATATATTATGATATGATTATCTTCTAAAACAATATATTAAAATGGAAATGACTCATGTATTTAATCTTATACATTTAATACATTTTTATCCAATTAAATTAAATTAAAATATATAGAAAAAATAATGTATAAAAAAACCTCATACCTTAATTTGATTATATAAGACAAAATAGTAAGTATCTAATTAATTTTTTGTTTCTTTAAATTTACTTTTAAAACATTTGCCATTACTACATTTTATTTAAAATATGATAATTTACTCTTATATACTAAAACAACATTAAGATAATATGTGAATTATTTATCATAAGAACTATATGTTTATCTAAAAATTATATACTCATTATATTTCAATTTTAATTAATAACATAATTTTTATATCCAAACACAAGGATTGATATTCTAATGATCATTCACTTACTTAAAAGATTTAGAAAATACTATACTTTTGATTCTTGCACTTTATTCAGGTTTTGATATATATACTTGCACTTTTTTTTGTGTTTCATGTCCCCATACTTTCTCTTATTTGCAACTTTAGTCCTTATATTTTTAGAGAGATGTTAATGTAACACAAAAAGTGTTAATAATACTGACATGTCAATTAACACAATTAATTTTGTACTTGTGTGTAAAACTTATGCTGACATGAAATTTTTAATAAGCAAAAAATTTTGAAAAAACTACATGAAATTTATGCATTTTACTTATCATTTAAAAAGCCCATATCAACTTTTTTATTTCATCTCATATAGGCTTTTTTTTTAATTTTTGCATATTAAAAAATTGCATGCCAACATCAGTTGAATATATAAACACAAAATTAATGGTGTCAATTGACATGTTGAACACAAAATTAATATTGTTTGCACCATGCCAAAGTCACTCTAAAAATATAAGGACTAGTGTTATTGATGGAAGATAATGTAGAAATTTAGTATATGTTTAATTTTCAATTTATATTTGGCAAAAGTTCATTTAAAAAATTCAACTATTTGTTAAATTTAATAAAAATACATTCCATATGTAATTTGAATATATTTTTTAGGGTTACTCAAATAATATATTTAAAACACTTGAAATAAAGTATGTGAACCTATATTAAAACTATTTTTCCAATGATTTAGATGACAAGATTTCTTTTCATTCATACCAATTTTAACTAGTATGGTACGTACGCGTAAACTCGTGAAGGCTGAAGCCTGGGGCTGACGTCTCTCTCTCTCTCTCTCTCTCTCTCTCTCTCTCTCGTAAATTCGTAAGCTTGTGTCGTATGGTATATTGGTATGTACGCGTATTCCCATCTAAACTTGCTAGGTGACTTTTCCGGGACACTTGACGGCTTCACTATAAAATGAAGTCGCCTCTTAACGCTGTTTGACGCCTGAAACTGAAAAATCAAAATCCCCCCTTTGGGCATATACACATTTCAGTATTTCACAGATTTAGTATCAAGGGGAGGTTCTTCTCTTCATTCTCAGGCCGATTTTCCTGAGATTTGATTCGATTCCCCGGTTTGAGAATCTGTAGAACTAGGGTTTCATCATTTCTCATAATTTGTGTTTATTCTTTTGAATTTGGAAAAGAAATGTCCCAGCTGAAGACAGTTTCACACAATGACGATATTCCATCCACTCCAGGCAAATTCAAGGGCGACAAATCTCCATACATTCATCGCCTTAGGATCTTCTCTACTCTATCCAAGCTCACTCTTTGGTCGACCTTTTTCTTGGTCTTTGTCCTTTTATTCTTATTTCTCTCCCCTTCTTCTTCCCCGCCCGCCGCCCCTGCCCGCCGTGCCCTTGGCGACTCATGGGGCGGACCCGATTGGGAAAAGCGAGTCAGCAAATCGGCGCGTAAGAGCTCTGCTTCTGGTTTCACTGTACTTGTTACTGGGGCGGCTGGCTTTGTCGGCACCCACGTTTCGCTGGCGTTGAAGCGACGCGGTGATGGTGTCCTTGGGCTTGATAATTTCAACCGTTACTATGATCCGAACCTCAAACGTGCTCGCCAGAAGCTTCTTGATCGTGCTGGGGTCTTCGTTGTCGAGGGAGATGTCAATGATTTGGCTCTTCTTCATAAGCTTTTTGATGTTGTGCCGTTTACGCATGTAATGCACCTTGCTGCTCAGGCGGGTGTACGGTTCGCGATGCAGAATCCCAATTCTTATGTGCACAGCAACATCGCTGGGTTTGTGAATCTTCTTGAAGTGTGCAAATCAGCGAATCCGCAACCTGCAATCGTGTGGGCGTCGTCTAGCTCCGTCTATGGGCTTAATTCCAAGGTACCTTTCTCTGAAAAAGACAGAACGGATCAACCGGCCAGTCTGTATGCTGCCACAAAGAAAGCCGGTGAAGAAATTGCACATACTTACAATCATATATATGGTCTTTCAATTACTGGTTTGCGGTTTTTCACAGTATATGGTCCTTGGGGTCGCCCTGACATGGCCTATTTCTTCTTCACCAAAGACATTCTTAAAGGAAAGCAGATTACAATTTTTGAAGCCCCTGGTCATGGAACAGTGGCAAGAGATTTTACCTACATTGATGATATTGTGAAAGGCTGTTTGGGGGCTCTGGATACAGCGAAGAGAAGTACTGGTAGTGGTGGGAAGAAGAAGGGGCCAGCACAGTTCAGAATTTTTAACCTGGGTAACACTTCACCGGTGCCTGTGAGTGATCTTGTGAGCATATTGGAGAAGCTTCTAAAAGTGAAGGCTAAGAGGAAAGTATTGCCGATGCCAAGAAATGGTGATGTTAAATTCACACATGCTAATATTAGCTTGGCACACAGGGAGCTTGGCTACAGGCCTACCACTAATTTGGAGACAGGACTCAGGAAATTCGTACAATGGTATTTGGAGTTCTATCCCGGGTCTAAGAAGAAGAGTTCTTGGTGATCTTTTTCATCATTTTTTTCCAGTCATTTTTTCCCACACATCTGTTGTCTATAATATACTCCTTTGAAATCTTACATGTGCTCTTCATTGTGCCCTTTTACAAAGGAGATATTATCCCTGCAGTGCATTGTTTTGATGTTGAAAAGAATATGATTGCTTATTGCAGGCTTACGGTTGTGTTAAGCAAGAACTAGGGTACTGGTAAATGCTTTTCAGTTCTTATTCTACTTTGTTTACATCTTATGTTGTGTGGTATTTTAGGTTAACCGTTGTACAGTCTTTAATTGAGAGATCAAATTGATATTCCGTATTTGTGGAGCCTGTCTTTTCCTTGTAAGCCTTCATTTGAGACCATTTTTTAGGAATTTTGATGGTGTATATTTGTTTTGTCGCCTATTGGACACAGTTTGTGTTATGGATTCGTTTGTATGTGCATTGTCATTTGGTTTGTATGCTGCAAACTTTGTCTTCTGCTTCCTTGTTCTTTCTCCTTAGGGTGATGATTTTGCCTGTTTGCCTCCATACTGATCCAAATATTGTAGCTAGAGATGCACTTTTTCTTGGATCAATCTTATTCCATTTGAATCCTTTGGCATAAATATGTTTGATCAGTCTGTTGTTGATGAGAGCTTGCAAATGTGCAAGCAACGACAACAGATTAATGACAGGCTGGTTTGTCTGGAAAATGAAACTAAAGTAGTAAATAAACATCTCTCACCAATGATGCTGTTTGTTACCCAACTATGGGTGTGTTTGGATTTCAATTGACAAAAATTAATTAACAAGAAATTTTGATAATGGAAGATGTTTGGATAATTTTTCATAATCAATTATAAATACTCAAATGAAGGGAAAAAATGCTGAAACGTTGAGAATTGATTTTCAAATGGAGAAAAAAAATAGCTTACTCCAAATAGAGTTTGGAAAAATTGGGGTTTTTCAAAGTCATCGTTTTAGACTTAGAATTGATCCTACATTGTGTATCCAAACAGGCCTTATACTGTGGAAATGGTTTGTTCACACATTTATGTTGTTTGCTGGTACTTGGCTGCAATTTCTAGTTGATGAGTCAGTAACAAGTTAGGAAGAATAGACATTCCCAAAACGAAGAGACAAACAGCTTGGGAGCTGTACGTTTTTTTTTAAAAAAAAAAAAAGTAGACTGATTTGTATTGTATATGAATATTGTGATATAATAATGCGCATAAACTATTTTAGGAATGGAGAAAGTACAAAGGGTCATGTATGATAATCATGTTTGGAAATCATATTTCTTTATTTCTTCCCTTCTAATCTAAATAAGTAAAATGTCGTTTGTTTGGTGAAGATTGATGGGGGAGAGGCTATCATCATAACTACAGGACTTGTTATTAAAGAAGTGGTTGAAGAGGCTTTACATTAGCTGTTGAATTTTAATTGTCGATTTGAGGTTAGGAGCTTAGGATGTTAAAGTTTGACGATCAAGTTATAAATTCTCTTTCACTCTGTCAAGTTAGACTTCTCTTAGCATACTAGCCTATGCCCGATATTTGGGGATTCTTTGGCCCCATTATGAAAATAGATTTTTTTATTAATTAGCCACACAATAAAATATACAATATATCTTATTATAATTACTACTGCCACTACAAAAGTATAACATTTTTATTTTGAATCAATTGCTATTCTACATATTATTCTATTTTATTCTATTTATAGGATAGAAAAAAATATTTTTAATTTTATTTATAAGTCACATCAATAAATTCTTATCACAAATTTTTTCTTTTACTTCCTATTAAATATTAAAAAAAGATGTATTTTTATTGTATGTCTATTTAATAAAAAAATTAAAAATTTATTAAATTTTTAAAAATTTTTAAAAATTTTTAATTTATAAATAGGATATGAGGAATAAATTAGTTGGGTGATGAATCGGTCAATTAATCGGTTTGTTTGACAGTATTATGTCTACAGGTTTCTATATTGGAATGTGAGAATTAGAATATACGCTCTCCATAACAGTCTTAATGACGCAGTCATGACCTAGTCTATAAAAGAGTATCAACTTTAATTTTTAAATCAAGTTAAGGATTAGTTTATTTATCCTCCTGGTAAATTAATTGTGCATCGTAGAGTCAAGTGACGTCGGATCAAACGAAGATTTGGGTGGCGCCAATGTTACAATCAAGTGACTCTAGATTAAGGGTTGAAAATTGTGTCAAAAAGATTAACGGCCGAAATAGGTTACTAATAATGTTTTAACAAGTCATTAAATAATACTCTTTTTGATCCCGTCAACTCCTACTTGATTTACTAGTGCTTTACGCATTGAATACTTTAAATCCGGCTTAGAAATAGAAATCACTTGTTTTTTTTTTTTTTAATACATAGCAACAGAAAACTTGCAAGAAGAAGAAATTAAGACATGTCTAGACTCATAAGAATTCGGCACTTAAGGGTGGATTATTAAAAATCAAAACATTAAGTTGTCATTTAGAGCCTGATAAGCAAGTCAATTCATATATTTATTGGCTTTTCTAAATATATGGTGCAAAATGATCATCCAATCCCTCGGGAGATAATAGTTTTGATGGGAGATGATTGAGGATGAAGTCATGCTGAATAAGCACCTGACCTTCAAGAAAGTCATAGTACATATTTATATTACTAAACTTGTTTTTTAACAAAAATTGAGATCTTCAAGAATGTTCAGAAATGCAATTATAATGTAGGGATGATGATCAAAGTATTTGAAAAAATATTTTATTCAATTACCTTGGTCATTTACAAATGTGGCTTGCATAAATGATAGGTCCATTTTAAGGGGTAGAGACAAGGGAGATTAGCAGGGATCACAGCCCTTCCTAATCTTTTAATTATTTTTCTTAATAAAATGTAAGGATTTTATATTTTTAATTTCTTAAGTTAACGCATTATAAAAGTCTTAAAACACTTAATGAAATTTTCATTTTAATTTTATAATAATTTTTAAGCATGTATAATTCAACTATTATAATAGCTTGAAAATATAGTCACCACAGAATCTACTTATTTTCAACAAAATAACATTATAATTACTCTTAAAATATTGATATTATTTAATTTTACTTTTATTTTATATTTGATGAAAGAAATTATAAAAATTATTACTAACAAAATTTATAAAGCACTACAACAAAAATCTTAAAATATATTAAATGAAGAATATATCAATTAAAAGAATTAAATAGTGAATTTATTAAGTAAGTAATAGAGTATTTTATATTAAACAAAATTTTATATCCTGAGGATGCATTTAAATTATTCAATCCTTATGAAAAAAATAAAATATTTGCCAATTTAATAATAATTTATGTTAAGAAGAATATTTGTAAAAATGTTATCATAAACATGATAATTTATTATTCTTCTACTATAAAAAAAATTAACAAGCAAAACTTAAATATATATATATATATATATATATTTGTTTTGTGTGTACGTGTATGAAATTAAATATAAATATATAGGTTAAAATATGTATGTTATGTTAATGATATATATATATATATATATATATAAATTCTCTTTTGATTATCATATACACTTTATCATTTCAATCCTCAAACAAAATTTTCTAACTCCGACCCTTTGACCATTGTAGAAGATTGAGCCATCAATTTCCAGTGTAACTTACCTAGGTTAAATTGCTGATATATTGACCAAAAAAAAAATAGAAAGAGGTTAATTATAGAGAAAATGACAATTATGAATCTCATAAGAATATTAATAACTATAAACCTAAATTATTAAAATTTTAATAACAGACAATAATCCTCACTTGCAAAAAATTATCTTTTATTATTTAACTTAAAATTCATAACAAATTTTAATAAATTTTCAACTGATGCTATAATTATTTCTAACTATCTTTTGTTAATTTTTCAAATAATAGTAAAAAATTATAATTGATTGACTTGTAATTTATAATTAATTCTTATAAATTTTAACTAATATTGCAAATAATCCAAATGCATGTAATACTTTTCAAGTGAATTATCTATATATTAACAGTAAAAAAAAATCACAAATGATTCATTTATAATTCACAACTCTTGCAAATTCCAAATAACAGTACAAATAATCCTAAACATATTTATTTAATTTTTAAATAATTTATCTATACAATAACAATAATAAAAAATTTTCATAAATTCTCAACTAATATTACTAATAATTCTAAATATATTTAACTAATTATTTACAGTTTTTAATATTGCAAACAAAAATCTTAATCTGTTATTGTAATTTCAACAACTCTAAATTTGTAATCATCATTAATACTCTTATAAGATCCTGAATTGTCATTTTCTTAATTATATAATATATTCAAATACGTGATTTTAATATTAGTAAAGAATGATTGGACATTGCCTTTTGGAATATCCATCAGCAGTTGGCCGAAAAAGACACAAAAAAAAAGATTGATTGGACATTTAGCCAATTATCTTGCAAGATTTTTTTTAGCAGTTTGTACATGATTGTACTATTGAAGGTACATATTGAAGGAGATTCTATTTAAAAAAAAAAAAAAGGATGAAGCACAAGCTTTTGATTACACATTTTGATCTGGAGCATTGTTGCCATGAACGACATTAATTTGGCATGTACCCATCCCGTTCTCTCTAAAACTGAAAGTTGTCGACCCTAATTAAACAAAACAAAACAAAGATCTATTTGTGTGTGGGGGTGTGTAAATAACGCACAAGCAGTCAAATGCAGTAAATCATAGCTTAACAGTTCATTCTCTTCCAATGAAAAGATTAAAAAAAAAAAAAACCATACAACTAAGGGAAGCTAGTTTAATGTCTGGATCCTCACCACTTAGCCCTCAGCCACCAGATGAATCCTTAAAGAGCTTGGAAGACTGAAACGAGTAATTGAAACATCCTCTAAGCAACCAGTGTGCTGGCAGTCGTTGATTCGCTGCAAATTTCGAACCACATTAAAAACACAGTGCTCGCACGGTGAATAATTCCATACAAGGAAAGCATCATACAGCAATTTTGCAGCTCAAACATTTTTTTTTTTTTTAATTAAAGAAGGAGGCAATAATAGCTTGAGCTTATAAGTAGGATGAAACCTGTGACCTTCCGCTTACATGCCGCTAGATTATAAGAAAGCTCAAACAATTATACAGCCAGCAAAGAACCACAATAAGATTTTCAATTGAAATCAAGGACTAAAATTGTACAAATAATCAAGGGTAAATAGACAATTTGACTCCTATATTATGGGTTCAAGAACGTCGGAAACTCTAAAATCGTTTTTTATGCAATATTCTCCATAATTTTTGAAAACAATGCAATGTATAGCTTCTATTGTAAAAAAAAATAATAATTTTAACTGCTAGTTGAACAAGAAAATAATAGAAAATAGCCTTATAAATTACCCAAAAAAGAAAAAGACTAGCATTTTAAGTTCTTATTTGTAATTTTTAGACCCTTTTTTTGTACTCTTCTTGGTCAAAGTTAACTTTTTGTTAACGTTATCGGCAACATTACATCATTTTTTGATAGTTGAGAAGGAACGTAGTTCAAAATACGAATTTATAATTCCAAATACTTAGACCTATAATTTAGGAACAATTTGCCATTTAACCCAAAAATCAATATATCAATATATAAAATAAAAAGTACAATAAGTCACAGTTCCATAAGCCTTGAAAAGTGCAGAGAAACATATCTAGTTTTCCTATGTATGAATGACCATCCGTCCTGAAATCGACTAGAAATAACAACCATATCCCCGTTCCATCAACAGCCCTTCCAGGGGAAAAGCTTTATAATAACATTAACAAAGGGATATGGATTATAATTTATTTTCCCCAGCCCCCGTCTCTCTACATTTTAGAATGAGAACCAATTCAAAACAACACATCAACTTGCTCTCAATAGAACTTTGAAGTCTGCGGAACATTTAAGAATCTGAATCACTCTAGAATCTGGAAATACCCAAAACATGTAATTGACTTCATGCAGGCTGGCGTAGTTCAATCAGATGAATGATGAGTGAAGTATTTTTACAGAGAGATCCTTGAAAAATGCTAAGGTGAAACAAATTAAATCCACATTTCTCAGATAGAAGGCAGCATTAAGTTCATCCATAACAAGAAAATCGGTTGAATACTTGAATCTAAATTCCCAAAGCCAAGCAGCGTCCTGTACTCTATCATATATTCACATAATTTGGATTCTTGACCAATTAAAAGGAAAAAAACAAAAAAAAAAAACCAAATCGTCAAGTTGGGTGTTAGCCTAAAATCTTTGTTGATAAATCTATAGATCTAGCTTACTAAGCAATACTACGATGACATGTCTCATTCCAAAACAGAACTCACTAATATCAAATATACCAGAAATTCTATAGACAACATTAAAATAAAATCAGAAAACAAGCACAAACGCGTTGCAGAGTGCTTACTATTTCCATACTGGTGGAAGCTTCTTAGTTTTCTTATAATAGCGAGCAAGTCGGTGAATTCTGCTTTCAACAAGAATTAACCTGAACTTGGAGTCCTTGTCCTTCCTGTTTCTCTCAAGATGCTTGCGAATTGAAACTGCTTTCTTGATCAAATGATAGAGATCCTCGGGAATTTCAGGCGCAAGCCCTGAAAACCAGAAGTAAAAATTTTTCAACACCATCATACAAACATGAACACACACACACACACACTCACGCGCGTGCGCCAAATCGAGTTCGAATAGAAATAATATAATACCGTGAGCTTTGAGAATGCGCAAGATTTTGTTGCCGGTGACGCTCTTGACCTGAGCAATACCGTGAGAGTCTCGGAGAATGACACCAATCTGTGATGGAGTTAAGCCCTTCTTCGCGAATTTGCAGATATTATCTTCGACCTGAATAAAGCAGAAATGTAAGCATTGACGAATAAATTACATGAATTTAATCACCAACATAGTTAAAGTGGGATTACATCTTGCGCAGAGATCTTGAGCCAGCTGTGTGGCGTTCTCTTGTAGGGTAACGCAGAAGCTGATATACCCTTACTGCAACACGAAACCAGAGAAAGACAATCAGAAAATCTTAGACTTCGATAAAACAGAGGAAACTGATGGATGAAGATAGAACTATACGAACCCACGGCTATGCATACGACCCATCTTCTCAGAGCTAAGCCGCCTTCGAACTTTGATTCGAAATGCTCTTCTTTTTAGCGAGAGATCACAGAAACCCTAGCAAAGTCTTACTCTGTAGCATTGAAATGCCACGGAGCCGTAAAATCGACGTCGTTTTGTCATCTTCACTATTAAAGTATTTTTTTAATTTTATATAAAATTTTAATTTAATCTCTTAATTTTATAAAATATTTTTTAAATTTTTTAACCTTAACATTATTAATTTTAAAATAATTAATTTTTATATCAATAATTATTATTTTAAAAAATTAAACTTAATATATTAACATTTAAAAATATTTTATTAATATTTAAAAATTCAATATAAAATTTTATTGAAATAAAACTAATATTATTAGAGTTAAAAAATTAAAAAAAATACTTTATAAAATTAAGAGATTAAAATAAATTATTATGTAAAGTTAAAAAATTAAATGTATACTTTAATTTTTTTTTTAATCTACATTTTTTTGTTAATTTAATAATGAGAATACCATATAGGGCCAATGACATTTTACTATTAAACTGCGTTATTTAACAATTATAAATAGTACATTTTATTATAATTTTGATAATGCATGTAGATAGAGAGAGATATATATATATATATATTTAAGATTAAACTATCAGGTGGATTATTATGGACTTAATTGTTGTAATATAACAAACTTTAATTCATTAAATTTTTTATATTATTTGATAGAATATCTATAAATTTTTGAAAAATTAGTTTGAGCTGTTAATATTTAAAAAATAATTTATAAATTTTGAATCAATATTTATAAATAATAATATTTAAATTATTAATTATTTAAAATATTTAATATTTAATATATTAATAATATTTATTAAATTTTATTTTAATAAGATTTTAAGATGTCCAATGTTCCTAAAAATAAAAGAATTAAGGCTCATAGCCCTCCTAAAAAAAAGTTTAAGAACAAATTAATATCAAAAGATATGGTTAAAATTTTATTTGTCATTATACATAAGTTTCATGCACATGTCACATCAGCAAAAAATAAAAAAATCAACTACTGATTAATAGAAAGAGTTTTTTGCTATTCGAGAAAATAATTCAAGAATAAAATTGCCCTACTTATTAGTATAAGATACCCTACACTCCTTAAAAAAAAGTTCAAGGTAAAAATACACCTTGAGCCAATAATATTTCCCATAAATCAATAATTGCCTATTAACAAACTTTAAAGTGTAGGCAGTTGGATTTTGAATTGATTTGATATTAAAAAATTTATTATGTAGAGATTTATATATAGGTAGTTGGATTTTGAATTTGCAACTCATTTTACTTATTTTAATAGGAAAATCAAATCTTAATAATTAAATTTAAAACTAACATGTCATTATTTAAATACTTTTAGGATTTTGTAACTTTATCTTTTAAATTTACAATTTTGTCTTTTTGATTTTGCAACTCGATTTTCTAATTTTAAAATTGAAAGTATAATGCATTATATGAAAATGCTTGCTAAAAACTTAAGACACTTTATATTTTAAAATTTATTAAGACTTTACTTGAATAAAATGATCACGTTGAGAAAGTGTCATTCCTCCAAACAAGGAATCAAACAGGCCTAAGTCTCTAAAATCACAGACATGAACTAGTAAGTGTGCTATACCAACTGTTCCATCCCCATTTATCACAACTAATATTGAGATCAAATTTTCACAATTAAGCATCCACTCAAAGATTCAAGCGCCTTTTCAAAAGAATTTAAAGCCCACATTGCTCTTTGACTCTAGCATCTAATGAAATACTCCACCCTCCTCGAATTATATTACAAATTACAAAAGCTCAATTTACCTTTTGTTCCTTTATTCCTTAGGTTGAGGTCTGACCAGAGGCATCTTTCACATTTACCTTCTCCACACGCTATCGGACATTGTATGCACTCTTCATCAATAGACTAAAGTGATTGCCAAGATGAGAATAGTAAATAAGTATTTGACTAACAATCTATAGAACTTTTGCATTTAGGAGAACTTTAATGAAGAACCTCTAAAAAAATTTAATATCTGATAAAAACTTGAACAGATCGTATATTTATTAAAACAATACCTTCACTTGTTAATTATTAATGTTTAATTGTCAGAAGTTCTTTTATGAAATTAAACTACTTCCAGGGTCCTTTACTAATATCCTCCCGCTTGTTTGTGACGTTTGTTTAGAATGGACTGATTGAAGCACTAAAAGCATAAGTTACTACTATAACAAATAGGCCACTATCAAATTTCAACCATGGTGTGCACCATTACCATTGCCCATGGCAGAGATAGCACACGCCATGCCTGTACCACATGAAATTGACAACATATCACAGTTCACAGCTATGGTATTATCCACCATGTCCTGGTGCTAGCACAGATAGTGCACACCATCTATTCACGGCTGTGGTGTTATCCAAACTAGTCGTTATGCTGTACTGTGCGCCATGAAATTGAGGTGCTGCACCATGCAACATGAGATAACTAACCGTTACACTAGGATATAGTGATTTAAGTAGATCAACTTCCTTAGGCCTAAAGATTTCTTCAGAGAGACAGTTCAAAACAAACATTTACAGAAACAGTCACAAAAAAGAGGAACATTACAAATTGTATACGAAGCAAACCAAAGTTTCATGTTAGGCAACTTAAAAATTACGAAGGTCATTTAGACAGAGATTTTCTCGGTTACATGCCACAGGCTACTCATGAAATCAATCGAAAAGCCAGAAACTTTTGAGAATGCAAGCAGCAATCAACTTCTGAATTATCATATGATGTATCTTATCTCAGTTACTACTGATACTAACTTCCCAATTAATGTTAGTATATTCCATTCTCGATTCTTGCTTTCCTTTGGCAAGAACCGCTTGCAACTAACTAACATGTGACAAAAGGAAAAGAAAAGGCCTCACAAAGTATTCTAAAAGGCTTGAAGTTAATACATCATTAACAGAGCAATGTACTGTATAAGCACTCCAGAATAAGATTAACTTGAGTCATACCAGGAGTCATTAATTTTACTATCACAATATGAGAATGATAAGAAAATTCTATCCATCAATTACTGGGTCGATGCACACTTGCACTTACCTCAATTCAAAAACAGGTTAGAAATACATTCGCAGAGAATGGAATTGTAATGGAGGACGCTACTGTAAATGGTTTGAGAACATAATGCTTTACACTTTAAATATATTTTACAGCTTACTAATTAATATCACCGCATAAATTTATCAACATTGAATGGTACCCCATGCATCACATAATGTAAAAATCTAGTTTTGTAATATCAACTAATTGGCTGCATACCAACATGTTAAAAGCATAGAAAAGTATCTGAGAAAGACTTATTGAATGAAATAAAGAAGTTCTTCCCTCCCAGCTGCTTTCTCTCACTCTCTTATCCTTTTTCTTTTTTCCCCTTGAATTTACCCTCTCCAATTCCAATCCTTATCATTGGTATCAAATCCATGGTCAACAATGGCAGATGCAGTGAAATCTCAAGTTGCAATGAGAGAAATTGAAGAAAAATTCTGACAGATGATGGGTCAATGTGATAAAGGGGTTTGAACAGCAGTGAATCAAAGGATTTTTAAACATGGAACACATGAGTGAAGCACAAGCTTCACTGATGGAAATCAAGGAGACTCCACTTAACACTCAACCACAGAGATGAATATTTCCAAATGGCGATGAATTAGGTAATGTTAGCCATGTATAATAAGGCAAAAAACAACAACAACCATCTTTATCTCACTAAGTGAGGTCAATTAGATGAATTGCATTATGTCATTATACTCTATCAGCAACTAACTCTCTAAATAGACCATTCACCAAAAAGTCTCACTCAATAACTTCCTTAAGAAGAGTGGAATGAATGCATATGTCAGCAAATCATAATGCCTGGTTAGGTCCTTTTCTGCATTTTCCAACACCAAAAGGAAGGAGTGGATTTTCATAATGAACTGGTGGGAAACTTTGGTAGGAGATCTGAATTGGATCATGGGTACGATGACAAGTAAAGTTGCTTGTTGAGCCTATGGAGATGAAGGAGGTGCTTCCAACTTCCAAGGACACTGTAATGGTTTTGGCTATTGAACTGCCATCAATCTTGAGGAGCAGATGACGGTGCCCTTGATAAATACATTGATGGAGTTAATTTGGGCCTCTCAAGAACTAATTTCATAAATTAAGTTAGTCTATTATACAGGGCACAAGATTTCCATTATTTGGCAAGTGAGTAGCAGAAGATAAGGTAATCAAGGATTGGTAAACTTCAATGGAAGTAGAGAATAATGGCTGCATTTGGATTGTAATAACGTGGTTTCACATATGAATTGATGCTGGTTGATTAGAAATGCTGGTATGCAAAGTAGTTTGACTTAACCCATAGTGGTTTAAGGCAATTCAATGTTGGTGTAAGGTAATTCGAATTGATCTGAGGTCAATTGAGTAATGTGATGTTTCTTGTTGAGTACTCAGTCCTCTCAATATTTTTCATATCAATATCAATATCATCAACATATCTGTAAAAGTTGTAAGAAACCATATTGTTCACAAGTCGTGAACAGTGCAACTTATCACAAATTTCATACAAATGCACGAGACCTGCTTTAATTAACAGTAATTAATTGTTTTGACAAAGAGTCTGTAGCGTAACATTGTAGTCAATGGTGCTTTAGGGGGGAGTCCTAACAGGGAATATAATTGTAATGAAGGGAATTGAAGTAATAATAGAACTATGAGGGTATTAAATTGAATAGAAAGTACTTGGTTCTATGCTTAGGGATCCTACCAAGTTTGAATGAAAAAATCATGGTTCTTTTCAATTAACTCAATCCCTTTCCTTTGATTTAAACAATCTAGATCTCTTCATCCAAATCAATCGAAGGGCTAAGATTTCTCAAACTGATTATTGTTCTGCCTAAAATTGAAAGAATGCGGCCTAGTTAAAAGCATAGGAAGGTAGGAGAGAAGAATTATCTTATGGCATAATGAAATTTATTCTCCCAGCTACTCTGTCTTTGTCGCTCTCTTCTCCTCCTCCTTCTATTTTTCTTCCTAAATTTTTCCCTCTCAAATTCTGAACACTGTCAAATATGGGATAAATGGAGTATACACAAATTTGCTTAAACATTACATCATCAATCCAGATAAGAAAAACTTAAAGCATATATATAGAATAGGCCGGATTTCATACAAATCCAAAGCAAAGACAGAAAATTGAAGGAGCACGGAGGGCCACCGTTTCCATAAACCAGCTACATTAGCTACATAACATGAATATTGGGGCCCAAAATATTCAAAATAGGGGGGGGGGGGACCAAACGAAAAATAGATCAGCATAGTTTGGTGAATTCGTCCACTACATATAAAAATTTGAAGGAAAAAAAAACAAAAAGGAGCCAAACCAGTAACAGCAAACATCTCGAATTCACGACCAAAGCACCCAACAAAGGAAGGGAATAGTATATAAACAAGATGTAGCCAATTAGTCGATAAAAACATCAAAAGAGAAGAAAAGCCATATGCGGAAGCATCTCACTTAGCCACCATTCTGGCAATGAAATCCTCGTAACGGATCTTGCCATCGGAACCAACATCAACTTCCTTGATCCACTCATCAAACTCAGCGGGCTCGAGTTTCTCGCCAATGCTGGTGAGGATGTGTTTGAGCTCCGTGACGGAGACAAATCCGGTGGAGTCCTTGTCGAGAACCTTGAAAGCATCGCGAAGTTGCTTGTCGAAAGGCTCGGCCTTCATGTGCTTGCCCATGAGCTCGAGAAATCGAGGGAAGTCGAAGGGGGCGGAGAGATTTTCTTCGGCGATGATGGCTTTGAGTTGAGCTTGGGTGGGGTTTCCGCCGAGAGAACGCATGAGGATCCCAAGCTCGGAAGGAGCGATCCGACCGTCATTGTCGGTATCGAAGAGAGTGAAAGCTTCCTTCATGGAAGCAACCTGGTCGTCGCTCAGACCCATTTGATTTGATTTCGGGATTAGATGCTTTCTCTTTCGCTTCCTGAGATGCCAGTGCTGGTGCGATGCCCGGTGGCGATGATGGACGCAAAAGAAATGCCTCCTCTTTTGTACTGTCGAAAATGGCTGGTCTTCTTTCCTCGGATCTCCGCACAAAAAGAAAGCCACAGCCCACACGACGTCGTTCATAGCGCCATTGGTCAAGACTCTGGAGAGGAATTTTATAAATAATCTTTAATTTTATTAAACTTTTGTAACATAATTTTTAAAAAATATATTTTCTGTCCTCTAATCCCAATAATTTCAAATGGTTATTTTTTATGATAATTCTTATTATTTTAAAAAAATAAATTTAATATATTAATATTTGAAAATTTCTTATCAATGTTTAAGAGTTTAATGTATAATTTTTTTTGTGATGAAACTAATGATGTTAGGATTAAAAAAATTAAAAAAATATTTTATAAAATTAAAAAATTAAAATAAAACCTTCTATAAAATAAAATATGATTAAAAGTATACTTTAATCATAAAGTTTAATAATGACCTTTTATAAATTTATTTTTTAAAAAAATAAATTTTCAAAAGTACACTTAATTTAATATGACTTTAAATCTACATATTGAATCATTACATTACAATTACTCTACAAAATAAGCATTTTTTGCCATGGCTTCCTCTCAGAAAATTGAAACCCAACTAGAGAAGATGAGTTCACCATCCTCCAATTGGCATATAGCAAATTTCTGATTTGGTGTGTGACAGAGCTTTGGTTATGTTATTTTAGTTTTTAGATATAAATGTAAAATTTTGCATCCACTTCCTGGCAAGACATGCCTGTAACAGAATGAGTAGCTATCGTCTAACTCACTTTTTATGGATTGATATATAATCGTTTTTTGATTAATGAATCTCTCTTCCGAATAAAAAAAATTAAAAGTAAGTGTTTTTTAACACACACATATGCATGTATAGGATTTGAATTAAATATGTTTAATTTCCTACATGTTATGTTTGATTTGTTCAGTCTTTATTTTATCTATGAATGGTATGAATTTTTATTAATATTATATAATATATTGAATACTTTTTTTTTTACAATTGAGAAGGAAATTGTTTTATTATAGTGCATTCTTCTTTTGCAATTATTGAAAAATAATTTTGCTAACCAACAATCAAACATCTTTTTTTTTATGAAAATAAAAGTACGTTTCTTTTGCAATTATGTAAACAAATAATTTATATTAACATAATGACAGCACTTTAAATAAAATTAATTAAAAATAATGAATAAATAATGTACAGTAAAATAATGAATAACTTAATATAAAATAATGAACAACAACAATAAAAGATGAACAACTTATGTTTGTGTTGTCCACATATATTTTGTGAAGAGAGTTAATTTTATTATTTCTCTCAATATTTTTATTTTACTTTAGTGCCATTGACTGTAGTATGATTATAGTTTTAGAGTTTTTAAATTTTTCTTTTTTATTAAATATGGTGAATGAATCTTTGTCGAAATTTTTCTCTCTTTTTGTAACAAAAATCAAAAGATTCTCAGCCAAGATGGGGAAATGAAACACGCTTGTCGTATCTGGATCTCCCGAATATTATAAACTATAAAGCAGCGAAAAGAGAAGGATACAAGTCAATAATCGAGGGAGGGCTAGGATTGAGGTGAATCGCGCAGGCAAATGTCGGATCAGTGGGAATTGCGATCGATAAAATAATTACATGACCCTGAATCCTTAAACCAATCTATATACTGTAGTGGTTGCATGTAAAGTAAGTCAAGCCCATCGTTAAATCCATCAACTCAACTGGGTTAGTAGTTTAATTAAGCTCAAATCAATTTAAGTAGTAAATCAATCTAAATTAAAATAATATAATTTAAATAAAAAATTATTAATCATAAAAACATTCAATTAAATTCAAAATTAATCTTATTACAAGATACAAATATAATAATAATTAGAGAACTATAGCCACCCAAAAATCTAATAATAGTCAAATATAATTTTCTAAATATTTATTCTTACAATTATAATTTACAACCATTCAATCATTAAAAAGTCTAAAATTAATAATCATTAACATTAAAATCATCAACTATAATAATCATAATTTATAAATGTTAAGTAACAATAGACAAATAAATAACAGCAAATAATAAAAAATTAAAACAATTGAGACACAATTAACTTAAAAAATTCTGAATCTTTTAAGTTTAAACTTACAATTAAGATCCTTTATTTGAAGTTTGAATCACAGATAGTGAAATTTGGTTTAATTGCATTGCCCTCTGTTGTCTTGCTTTTTAAAATTTCAAGCTGAATTTTTTACTTTTTATTTACTTTACAATTTTAAAAATAAAAAAAATAAAGTGACTCTATTGTCCCAGTAACTTGGCCAGGTTAGCTCGGGTTGACCCTAGGTTAGTCGAGTTACACCAAGTCAGTGACTAACCAATTTAAGCGGAAATCCAAACTAAAAAAGAGATCGAGTCACCTGTTCACAGGCTAAATTGGTTGATCTGATCTGAGTTTCCATACATGGATGTGAAAAGATATTTATCCTTGCCTAAAATTGAGGAAGCCTAAAATATAAATACTAAATTAAAATATATAAAATGTTTCTAAATTTTGATACAGTGCACATAAGCTTCTCACTTTTAAAATATTAAAATTAAATTTTTTATTTTTTATTTTTTATATCATAGATTCTCATACCATTATTTTTTAAGTATTTTGATATCAGAAGTTGTCCTATTATATTGAAAAAAAGACACGTAGCAACTTACTTGACATTTGTTGTAAGCTAATAGTAGTGACGGACCTAAAAAAACTTATTTGAGTGAGCAATATTTAAGCTAAATGTAAATTTTGATATTTTTGAAGAAAATATAATTCTAAATATTAATTACAGTAATATATAACTAAAATAATATGAAAATTTTAAAAATATATATTAGTTTCATTTGTGTCATAAATTTATTTTTATAATAAGTATAACTTAATTTTAATTTAAATATTTGTCAAATTAATATAATTAAATGTTTTATATGTTTAGTAGGTTAGTCGAACAGCATCAAAAATGACTGATACATAAGCTTGTAATAATAAAAACATTTTTTCAACCAAATCCTCCACCATCTCTTTTATTTTATTTGAAATGGACCTCCCTTGCCTTGTTTGATCTGATAGTGTTTGCGGATTAAATTAAAGATTAAGAAGGAAGCATCAATAACAACAACAAAAAGATTAAGAAGGAAGCTCGCGTTGGCCCATAAAAGAAGGGAAGCCCAAAAAAACAAACGACTAAGAGAGAAAACTAGAAAAAGGGGTCATTAGCTTTTGCCATTATGGCCCATGCCTAGATTACAGTTAGAAAATAAAAAGAAAAGGCCAAGCTCAACAACCCAACTCAATCATGTCTTAAAAAAACAAAAATTAGTACGTTGGGCATGTAAAAAAGACTTTTTTCTTTTATTGAAATAGGACAAATATTTTTTAAGAAAAAAAATAACTTTCGGCCTTTTATAGTTTTAGCGTATTTTTATATTAGTTCCTATAATTTTATTTTATTATTTCAAATCCCTTAAGTTTCATTTGTCTACAACATTTATTCTTATATTTTTAAATATGACCATAAGAACTTAATAGTGATTAACATATGCATAACCCCAGTTACTTATTGACTAGTTAAAATTATTTATTAAGTTTGTATAAAAATGAGTAAAAGACGCAAAAAAAAAAAAACAAGATATTAAATCAAAATCCTAAGTATGAATGGGCTATTTAACTTGATCCTATTTTGTGCAGAAGGTTTTTTATTTTTTTTCAACTCGACACTTTTATCACTTGACCTTTAAAGTTTTTTTTTTTTAATTACAAGCCCATGGCAAAGCCATGCTGATTAAAGAAAAATAAGTAAGATCGTTGAAAATGAGGTGTTTGCACCTATCGAGGAGGGTCATTCAAAAATTTAATATCCATCATCTTTTTGCATTTTATAAGCAAGTCAATAAGTAAAATTGTCAGTCAATTTGTAAGAATGATCTAAAGTAACAATCAATTCTTTCATAATGAGATCTATGAGTTTTATTATTCCCCAAACTCTCAAGCTATGTACCTTGAATAATGTCATAAGCAATTAAGCATCGCATAGAGGACCGCTCTAATGCACCTCTCTATCTACTATTACAGTAAATATAATTGTAAGTTAGTGTACAATAAAATTATTTCCACTGTAGATCTATAGTTGTTTAGATGCGGGCTTGCTTGGATTAGGTTGGTGTGTTAAGTGGGATGTTTAGGGCCATTGGATTTGATTATTCTAGAAAAAATTGAAGAAAAATCTGGCTACCCATCTTCTTCAAAGTGAGAAAAAGAAATCTTTAGGAACAAAAAATAAGACAAAATAACGATTCTTTAGTTGGTGTGTAACATTATAGGCAACAAGCCATCTCTCCTTAATCTATTTTCATTGACTGTGCTTAGTTTCGATCTATGAATGATTATTATTTGCAAGCCACCTTGGTTCTAGCACCAGCATTAATAATCATGGCTAGGAAACATCGATGCAGGTGAGCTGTCTAAGATATGTTGCCAATTAATTATGTTTCAGTGGTTGTTTCAAAATTTTGATTGAAAGGTTCTATTTCATATGTTGATAAATGATAAACTTATGTATTAGATATGATGGTGATTCTTGGCTACACTTGTATAACATTGACAATAATGCATATGATCAAGAGCTAAGGAGAGATGGAAGGCAAGAAGGTAGGCACAAATTCTCAAGGTTCTAAAAATCAGATCGATCATTGAATCAGATGAGGTGCTAGTTTAAGTGTTAATGGTTTGACCGTGGTCAAATCATGATTGAATCAGATATAATTAATTTAATATTTATAGATAATATATATACATATATATCACAAAATAAATTCATCCAAAATTATAAAAACTAATATTTAAATTAAAGAAAATTTTTAAGTTATCTATAAATTTATATTTTAATATTTTATAAGAATAATATTGTAATATAATCTATTTCATTCACTTCATTTAAAAAAAACAAATAACATTTAATATGATTTTTTTACTACCCAGAAAATAATATTTAATTGTATTAATG